AAAAAAAAAAAAAAAAAAAAAAAAGTCTTGACAAAGCCAGCAGTGGTTGGAGCTGAACTCAGGGAGGCTCTGAGAGCCACTCGATTGGGGAGCCCGTCAGCACGAGGAGTCGTGTCACGGGTTCCTGATGTGGACAGTGGGCCAAGGGCACAGTTTGGGGAGCTGGGTGCAGGTTTGGGGGTGCAGCACTGGCGCTCCAGAGAGCCAGGGTGTGGATGTGAGGGAACCATGCCCCCTGTGAGCATCTGTGTCTCAGCCCCAGGGCTGCAGCCAGGAAGATACTCCATCCCGGGGTGGGAAGTGCTGCGGGGGAGGACGGCTCCTCGGCATGAGGGTGGGGACCACTGAACTTCATTGATTTTTGGTCTCTGAGACGTGGCCTTGCTAGGTAGCCCAGGTGTGGCTCAAACTCTCGGTGATCTCCTCCAGCCTCCGGAGTGTGCACCACGCCCCGCTTCGGGTTTAATCAGTGCAGGCTTTTAACGAGCAGTGATTGTACTCCTTGTGGGGAGAGGCTCCACCTACAAAGTGAGAAAACATTTTCAAAGAAAGGGGTCACAATGGATCCCACCCTGTGAGGGTGTGGCTTTGCCCTGGGCTGGGGACAGGAATGGCGGAAAGGCAGGCGGTGGCCACACTGTTTCCATTCTGGAAGGGCTAGGGGACAGATCTGAAGTGGCCACCTCAGAGGCCAGTCTGACAGCTGCGCCACAGCCCTCAGCCCTCCAGGGCAAGTCCTCAGCGCCCGCCCAGGAGGGAGAGGACGTGGCACCCACTGTGACACTTACTGCTGCTGCTGTTGCTGCTCCTCCTCCTCCTCCTGCCTCTGGCGCTGCTCTTGTCCCCCACTCAACACCAGCACAAGGAGTGGCACTGTGTGACCCTGGCCGGGCAGCCAGGAGGATAAAGCGCCAGCGTGCGGGGCAGGACGCAGAGGATCTGGGCACCGAGTTGGGCATAGCCACAAACGGGGAAGCAGCCGTGCAGAGCACGAGTAAAGCGGGGAGGTCAGAGAGGAGCCCCGGGAAGGCGTCAGAGCCTGCAGTCCTGGCCGCTGCGTCCTGGAGCCGGGGCCCTGAGGACAGCCCTGCAGGGACCTCCCTGGACTGGGACAGGAATGCAGTGAGCAGAACCAGCAACGGGGGACAAGGCTTCAACATCGCCTTGACGTGCGGCGACTCAGAGGAAGGCAGGCGCTACAGTGTGCGTGGCACTGCGACCCAGCCCAAAGGACACAGAACCGGCTGGCCGTGAGGGTCCCACGTCCAAGTTCCTCTGGGCACAGACACAAGATGCTGTGGTTGGCAGAACAATGGCCTTTCCAATGTGTCCGCATCTGACCCCGGAACCTGAGCGCATATCGTATTTTATTATCCATTCACGGTGGGCACGTGAGTTGTTTCCATTTTTCACCACGTGCCAGTATCTTTACAAGGTGTGATCAAAAATGTGGTGAATGCCGCTGTCCAGCAGTCTGGGAGAGACGTCACTCTGGGCCCTCACCCACCTGGCACATCCAGGCGCCCTCCCCCATCCGGCACAGTGCGACTTCCGGCTTCCCCCAAACAGAAACGTTCTGAGTTGGTTCGGGACGTGAAGGTGGCCCCAACAGCACAACTGAAGGCACTAGAGAAAGAGGACCAGAGCTGCTTCAGACTGTGGCAAGAGTGATGGGTGTTTCTGAAGTGATGGGCAGGCTTCTGAGAGGGACTCATGGAAACTTTTATTGTTTCTCGAGACAGGGTCTCACTATGTAGCCCAGGCTAGCTTTAGCACACCTCAATCCTCCTGCCTCAGCCTCCTGATTGCTAGGATTGCAGGCCTGCACCACACCTGCTTTAGATCTTTTTAAACATTGCCGTGTATTTTGATCACAGCTGGTAATTTTCACAATGATCCTACGAAACAGCAGCCCTATTTCCAATGCATATCCTCAGTGGCCCAAAACCTCCTAAAGTTTTCTAGACCCTTCCACCATCACCAAAACTTTTCACACAAGGGCCCCTGGGCAACACCACAGAGCCAAACCGCAGCAATACTGTGGAGTATAACTAGCAATAATAAAATTGCATTCTTTTAAAAAGTATTTTAAGGCTGGACATTTAGCTCAGTGGTGCGGCCGCCTGCCTCGCAAGCAGCAAGCACAAGGTCCTGAGTTCAATCCCCAGTACCAGAAAAAACAAAAAGTAATTTAAACCAGGCACATTGGTGTATGCCTATAATCCAGCACACTGGGAGGCTGAGGCAGGAGGATCTCAAATTTAAATCCTGCCTGGCAAACTCAGTGAGTTTTATCTCAAAATAAAAAAATGCAGGGCTGGGATTTAGCTCAGTGGTTCCGCTGCCTGCCTTGCTAGCACAAGGACCCAAGTTCGATCCCCTGTACCAAAAAAAAAAAAATAAATAAATAAACAAAATTTTAAAATTAGAAAATACAAAGGGCTGGGAATGTAGTGCAGGAGTAGAGCACTCCTGAGTTCAGGCCCCAGTATAAGACACACACACTCACTCATTCACACTCACATTTTATCTGTTTTATTTACTCTTCCTCCAAAATTAGCTGCAGTGCATTGAAGAAGCTGATTCAGAGCAGTTACACAAGAAGAGCATCCAGGCCCAGGTCTCATCCACATCCTGCCTCGGGTTGTGAAGCTCCACTTCTGGGACCAGTGTCAGCAACCTCGGAGCTTCTGGCCGGGGGCTTGGTGGACACAGAGATAAAATTCACGCTGTGTGTGAATGACACTGGCAAAATATCCTTCCCTATCTTATCAGCTGGGAGAGCCGGCCCGGTCCAGAGGGCAGGCCGGTGATAAGCCAGGTGGAACCGAGACCCAGGAGAGCCGCACAGGTGCAGCAGAGCCCAGGCACGCAGAAGGGATGGAGGACGCAGGGCCAGGGACCCCTCCGCCCGCCCCGCCCAGGGAGCGGGTAAGCGCCCATCGATCGGAGGCTGTGCCTGTCCGGGCCTTTTCCCTCCCTGCCCTATCAGGGGCCCTGGAGGGGTGCAGGCCCGAGGTCAGTTCTATGGAGTGGGGTGTGGAGGGGGACGGCTCATGGTGCCCCCCGCACCCCTTGCCTGCCGGGCCCCCTGGAGGGCAGCTGGCAGGTGGGCTCTGAAGGACGCCCCACTTTCCTGCAGGCCCTGGGCTTAGGCTGTGGGCACATGGGGCGGGGCGGAGGTGCAGGGAGAGAGCTGGCCTCTGGGAGACACCCACAGATCTGCTACGACCCACTCACCCTGAGCTTCGTCCCTGAGCCACTTGGGGTCCGGGCCACCACAGGAGGCTGGCCTCGGCTTCCCCGGGACCCAAATCATTGCTCCCCTGCTCGGCCCTTCCCAGAGCCACCTGCACCCCGCTGATGAGCACACTGTCCCCACCCCACCCCCACCCGCCATCACCCTGTCCCAGGCTCTGTCACCGCTAGGTTACACACCTGTGTGTCCACAGTGTGGCCTCGGCTGGCCTGGTCCCTAAAGCACCTAAAGACCCCTCCTGCGTCACCTCCAGGGCCTAGGGTGCAGGGGACACTGACTGCATCCCAAGGAGGGAGAGGGTGCTGGGGAGCTGGGAATAAGGCCTCAGAGCCTGGGAGGGCCCAGCCTGGCCTCTTCCCTCCTCCCTGGGCCTGGCTGTGTCCACTGGGGAGGCAAGAGGCAGAGCCCCGACTCTGCGGCTTCCCTCAAGCAGTTCTCGTCCACACTGCTGCTGGCAGCTGTAAGTGCGACCCTGGGCTCCACCTTCCAGTACGGCTACAATGTCTCCGTCCTCAACACGCCGCACCAGGTGGGCACCGCTGCCACCCCGGCTCCCTGGGTGCCCGAGCCGGAGACCAGGGGAGCTGGACTCTCTGCCCGGCTCTTTGGGGTTTGAGCCCCACCGTGACGTAGAGAAGGGGTCCAGGGTTGAACCCCGAGGGTCTGGGGATTGAGATGGAGGTGCAGGGAGCAAAGGAAAAAGAGAGGCCTCGTCGGGTGGGGAGATGCTGAGGGCCAGGAGTCCCTGAGAAGGGTGGACAGTGTGCTACTGTCCTCAAGAGGAGGGACTGGTGACCCAGCTCTGACCCACGGAGGACACAGCACCCTAGACAAGACTGAAGCTGGACTGGGCTCTAGGGAAAATGTGAGGAGCTGGGTGTGGTGACTCCCACCTGAAATCTCCATACTCCGGAGGCTGAGGCAGGAGAATTGCTACAAGTTTGAGGCCAGCCTGGGCTGCATAGTGAGACCCTGTCCCAAGAAAGCAAAAAAAAAAAGAGGGATAGAGGCAGCAGGGCAGACACACTTTTGAAAGATTTTGTGGTCCAGAAAAGCCAGACAATAAAAGCTTGGAGGAGGGGGTGGGATTCTCTATGCTGATGGGGAACGGGCAGAGAGAGGAAGACCAGCCATTCAGACGGCCGGGGACAGACACAGGCAAGAGGTCCTGAAGGACGGTGGGACAGGAGCCCGCATCCCGGCCGAGCAGGGGTGTGTGAGCTCTGCAGGATTTTTAAGTCATGCTCAGCTTTGGGTCCGTTTTACTTGGTGGTGCTGGAGACTGAACTCAGAGCCTCACGCGGCCAGGTGAGCCCCTGACCTGGAGCATCGGGGCCCAGATTTCCCCAGACCCAGATGCCGTCCAAAACCTATGGCTTCCCAACATCTAACTTTCCCAAAGCCAGTATGACTTTGACCCTCAGCCAGTATAAACGTTTCCTGTTACCTCTGGCAGAGTAAGGCTCCAAACACAACTTTTTTGTATTGAATTTTTAGTTTTTATCACGTATTGATTCCTGAGGTACTTGGGGTGTTGAACCCCAGGCCTTTGCACTGAACTACACCCCCAGCACCTCCCTGTTTTTGAGATAAGCTGTCACTAAGTTGCTGAACCACCCAGGCTGAACTTTGAATCCTCCTGCCTCAGCTTACCAGAAGGCCAGGACCACAGGCACACACCAGCACTGACCCACAACAATGCATTTTTACAATTTTTTGGGCAGTCTGGTTCCCCATCACAGAGTAGATTATTCTGTCTGAGGGTCCCCGCAGGCAATCAAGGGCTCTGCTGTGCCCTGCGGTTTAGACAAAAATGTCCTTCTAGTGGGACTTGGTCACCTTCTCTCTGGAGTGCCTAAGAGTCCAGGTGGTTAGGGTGGGGCCGTGCTTTTCAGGTCTTGAAGTCGTTTTTCAACGAAACCTACCTGGAGCGCTATGGAGTACCCCTGGACGAGCCTGCCATGCTGCTGCTCTGGTCCTGCACGGTGTCCATGTTCCCGCTGGGCGGCCTGCTGGGCTCGCTGCTGGTCGGGCCGCTGACAGATCGGTGCGGCAGGTAACTCGGTGCGGCTCCACTCAGGTGACCGTGAGCTCGGGAGGTCCCACTTGAGTCCCCACCGAGCGCAGGCCGCTGGCCGGCCAAGGGCCCGGGAGCACATGGAGAGGGTCACCCGGGCTCTGG